CCCCAAAACCCCAAAACCCCAAAACCCCAAGCAGGTAAGATAATGAAAAAGTGTGATATTTAAATCATAGTATATCTTAAAATTTAAAATTATATAATTATGAAAAATGGCTTATATTTGAGCATATTTTTCCTTGTTATAGGAATTACACAGTCTGTGCTTATAGAACTCAGCAAGAAACATATTATAGACAGACTTATCATAGATTCTGGATTTTTCTAGAGTAGTATAAATAGAAAGCTGCAATAACTTCATCGTCCAAGATTTGAAGTATCATTAGATTACTCTACATTAGTTATTGAAGATCCATATGACTCTTACTAAAAGGCTATAAAGTACACAATCCAAGGAAAGGCATCTGAAGAGTTTTTTACTTCAGTCGTGCTGACTAGGCTAGTACCATCTCAGCCTTGGGAGAGCTATAAGAACAAGTTAGTATGTGAAGTTCAAATATATGGAATTGAGGATGATACTGAATTGAAAAATGTTGTGGAAGCTGTGGTTTCTAGAATGGCTCATATCTTTTCTGATTGGACGAATAACGCAATGTAGGAGTCATAAGAATAATTTTACATTTCCCATCTTATCATGTATATGTTTACAAGAGATTCAGATTATTACTACACTAATGGCGAATCTTTCTTTTATGATTACAGCGGTCATGAGCTTGTTAAGGTACTAGGTGATACTACTGAAGTAACTTAAAGCTTATACTAAAATGTGCCAAAGCATCAATAGCCCAGATATCTCGGAATAACATTGAATGATCAACTTTTAAAGAAAGTCCTTTTGGGTTTTTATTAACAAAAAGATTTTGATTTAAGGTAGCGCCTTAAATATCATTGAGATTTAGTTCCAGAGATAATTAAGATGAATGTATTTAAGGCCTCTGTTGTTTTCACTAAATTAGAAAATCTCTATCATGAAAAAGAACTAGTCAATATCATCTTCAACCCTAAAGATACTTAATTGAGCTGGTTAGAGAGTGCAATAAATAACATTAAACTTGAATTCAAGCAGGATAGAATTGAAGCCAACATTGGCAGTGAATATCGATATTAAATAATTAGAGGGCAAAGCTTTCAAATTCTAAATAAACGGATTACCTGCTGTTGTTTCAAAAATTATGATTGTTAATCCTTAATAACCCCAATAACGTAAGATTTTTCTGATATTTAATGGTTCATTTTAGATATTGAGGATGAGCAGATGATTGCCAAAGGGTTAATAAACTTTTTCTTTAGAAAATTCTTTAGAAAACTTACTTCAAAACCATTGCAAATCCCTGAAGGATTTCCTAGATTTGATCTCGAGTCTATCTTAGAAAGCTTTAAGCTTAATGTAGGTCCTGGTTATTTAGATTTTTCAATTGAAAATTTGGACTTAAATATGATTCCTCATTATGGTTTTAACTTTGTTACTATGGTCAGAGACGTTTCAACTGGATACAACAATGATGAAAGATATAAAAGAGATGAATACAATAGATAGCAAGAGATTGAAAGATTGCGAAAATAGCAATAAGAGGAAATTAAGCGACGAGAAGAAGAAAGAGCAAGAAACTAATATAGCTATTTATGATTGAAAACGAATTAATTAATTGTTTTTTATACAAATAAATTTTAATTTCATAATTCATCAATTGGAATAAGATTTTTAAATGTGGGGTTTTGGGGTTTTGGGGTTTTGGGG